TCACTCGCCCTCTGAAAGCCTCTGGTTGTGCCTCGCCTCGCAGCACCGCAGTGCATAGCCAATGGTGTCATGTTTTGGTTGGAAGGGCAAGCAAAGGAGCCAATCTCTCGTGGACTCGAGGCAACCCTTCCACGTATCTTACAGGCGTCGAATGGCCTGTGTACAGCTTGCATACGTCCTCTGGCAGCTGCTGAATGCGCGTCGTCTCGCAGAACCGCAGTGCATCCCCAAGGATGTCATATTCTAGCCAGGAGAACAAGCAAAGGAGCCAATCTTGTAGGCTTGGAACAACCCTTTTTTTAGCGGGCTTTGGACGACTTGTAAGGAATCTCAATTGGCAATTCAACGAGGTCATGTTCTGGCGAGAAGAAGAAGCAAAATAGTCGACCTCGTGGACTCGGAACGACCCTTCAACGTATCTCACAGACGGGCGGCCTTTGGGCAGCTCCTCGCCATTCCCATCCTCCCTATCTCTCCCTTGACCCCGCCACCGACCTTGTTGCCTGTGGTGTTCTTCTTGGGGGCTGTTGCTGGACCTCCCGCGATTCCCTGGTGCGCCCTTCTTCTCTCCCTGCCGGTGGTGGTTCTTCTCCCGCTTCTTCGCCTTGTGTTCTTCAACGGTAAGGGCCGGGCAAGGGGACACGCTGGCGGTGGCGGGCATTGCTTGACCATACTGTTCATTTAGGCCTCGATCTGTGAATACACACTGCCAGTCATGAATATCACAAGTGGATGAAGACTTACCTTGATGCCGCCGGTGAAACCACCGGGGCCACCGGGGGACCTCGGGGAGGACCCGATGGGCCGCCAGATGGGTTATCGGCAGGCTTCGCCTTGATCGCAAGTGTGGGCCGTCTCTGCTGTTTGCTTCGGGTTTATCTTCGGTGGTAGACAAATTGAACCTCGACGGGCCGGGGGTTCTCGTCTGGCTTGGTCGGAGCGGTCGGCCCGGCCGGAGTCATAGTGTGCGTTGGTGTGGTGGCGAGGCGGAACTTAGGCTTCGTCGAAGCCTGCGCAAGGGGGGTTTTGAAATCTTGTCACTATGTTGGCAAGGGTTCGGCTGACTTTGCGCGGCCTCAGATACAGGCACGTGAGAATAAACACCGGAGGGCTTGGGTGGGTAAAATCTATGACGATGTTAGCGGAGGATTTCCTGCTTGTTGGCTTCCTTACAGTGCCGTCGAAATGCGCGCCGCAACGGGGGGCAAGGATGTTTGCAATAGTCAAAAGGTGGAAAACAGGACGATGCTGGGGAATATTTAAGGATAGCTTCCATCTATACCGCATGTGATGGATTGCTGGTGCGGGCAATGTTGGGGAAGCGGCTGAAGAAACGAGAAGGAGAAAGAGGTTTGCCCGAGGGGAATCTGCCCTCCCCCACCGCGTGCCACGAGACTTGAGCGGTCCAAACCCACGGCGTTAGCTCAGCCTCCATCGACGCCTCAATAGCACGCGACCTATGTTGGCGTGTCACTGACGTTACCAAGGCAGGATCACCGATTGGTGCTCGGCACACTCCCATTCTCTGCCTTCCAAGTCCATGGACGTCAACACGAATCGGAAGCCTCCCGACAGCTACGCCGAGGACCGCTTTCCTACAGCCTTGTCCCAAATGGCAACCGCATTTCATCTCTTCCCGAAACTCCCGCGCGAGCTCAGAGACAACATTTGGGCGCTAGGGGCTCGCCCAGCTGTTCCTGGATCCCCATATCCCGAGCGTACGCGCCAAGGAATCTAGTCTTGATCATCGCTTAATCGCAATCAATGGAGTGACAACTTGTCTAAGTGAACCTTTGTCTTCGTCTTTCTCTGGTATTTGCTCTGTCTATCAAACTACACTGTTCCGTCGTTTGGAATCCTGGTCGATGTTCTGTAAGCGCCCCTGGACCTTAGTATGGCGGAAGGCGCAGTCTCGAACCCCCGTCTGGATATCGTGACGAGCTTCCTCCCCGCACACTCCATCTTCGTTTCCGGCACATTACTCCACGAGAGATCCCTAATGGTCACAAAGCCCGACGTTTCCTCCGCCTTTAGGCTCCCCGAGCGCTCCTTGTGTATCCCGTCGACTTCGAGCTTCCATTTACCTGGAAGCTGCTCAACTCTTCGGGGCTCCATTGGGCTCGTTGTCATGTGGGGCGGAGAGACTCGGTCCTTGTTGCCAGCTAAGACTCTTTGCAAACTATCTAGCTACTATTTGTGGGATACGTCGAAAGGTCGTTTCGAGTCCACGAGATCGGCAGGCTCCATTAGGTTTGTCGTCGCGTGGAGCGCAGCAACTCCCTTATTGTCAGTCGAGACCCTTTGCAAGCTGTACAAAGGCCGCTGTCTGTGGGACACCTGGAAGGGTTGTTCCGGGTCTACGAGGTCGACTCCTCTGCTTGCTCTTCTGGCCAAACCTCGTCCAGCTTTCGCGGTTGAAGAGCGAAAGGCTAAAAGCAGGGCTAGGAGCCGCCGCTGCTAAAAAGAGAAGAAGGCGGTCCTGCGGCGAGGCCAGCGATGAGGTCGAGGAGTAGGAGGGAGAGGAGGAGGAGGGTGGCGCGGGTGCCGTTTCGGCCGTGGCGCGCGAAGTAACGCCCGGACTGAGGACGAAGCCGGTGGCACGGGGGGAGTTTCCCGATATCTATGGGCTTGTTAGAAATATAACTTAAATAATAATGGCACGGCGAAAGCTTACGTTGCGGGAGAAGGAGGCGGCGGCAGCTGCCGCAGCGCGGAGCAACGCCGGGACCGACGATAAAGCTGTCGGGGAACATGGATTCGACCGGGGGAGCACTAGAAGGCTTGTTGGGTGTCACTATATAATACGTTAGTACTACGCCAAGTGGTTCTGGACTTGTGGGTGCCTACTTTTGGAGTCTCTGACGTGTTATTAGCTAAACTCGGCAAGGCCCAATGGGCTGTGAGCTTTTCACCAACAAGGCCAAGGGCCCGTTGCAGCAAGTCGAGAGGCCGCTCGACACCCCTTGGCACCACCATGCAACAATATCCAACCCCCCTCGCGTGTGCTTGATTTGATGCCCGATATCACGATGTATCAGGCAGGCCTGGGCGTGATTGAGCTGGCATCTTCGGGCCATATCCCAACCTACGGGAAATCCGACGGACAAGTAAGAAAAGATACTTTTCTGTTGAACATTTCAGTGATATGTTGCTTCCAAAAAGGATGGCGGCGACCTACGCCGCGTGCCAAAGCCGGGGTAAGCGTTGAAAAGAAGTCTAGCACGCTGTTAGCTTTTGTCTGCTATTCGTATGGATGCAAACACGAAACATACGAGAGACTATGGGGCCGGGGTCTAGAGTATGATGTGATGGCTTTACAATGATGTCAGTAACGATCGTCTTCACCAAGGGCTCTGGGGAGAACATGCGATGAAGGGATGTTCCTATCATGGCATAGTTAGCGACCGGTGTGTCAGGCTCACCAGAGAGATTCAGATACGTACGAAACCGGGCGAAGCCCGGCGTAGAGGAATGTAAGAAACTCTGTCGCAGTGTCAGCAATTCGCTGATTCCACACGCAGCCCAGAGCATACGAATGAGGAGAGGTCTGCAGCGCGGTGGCGAGGAGGGCATTGTTGGCGCCGGCCGGGGGAGCCCTGGAAGGCTTGTTGGGTGCCAAGGCTTCGAAGTCCATCCTCCCCTTCTTGAGGTGTCGGCCCTTTTTCGATGTTCGCGGGACGCCGAGTCTCTCTTCCAGGCTGTCAGGGGTTCGGCGGGGGCGGCTTTCTTCACCAGCGCGGGTGCCCGTTGTTCTGCTCCCAGGTGCCCAATAAGTTAGCATCAACGATCTTACTCGTCAGGGCCTTTGAAAGGAGGGGGGATGGGAGAGCTAGGCTCACGTAGATTGCATCGAATGTGGCTGGTTGGAGGGAGGCCTCTCGTGCGCCTGGGGGCGAGGGACGCGCCAAACGCTGTGCGTGGCACCCAGTCGTCAGTGGCCGACTTTCTTTCTGTAATTCCCCAAACTAGTCAGCGCTTTGAAGAGTGTGGGCGTCCCCTGACTTTACTTGGCGAGACTAGCATGGTGCGAGGAGCGCTGAGCTGGTTTTCGACATTCGCATGACTGCATTCTCCTTGGGAACCCCGATGAGATACTGAGGAAACGGCGTCGATGTAGAGGGTGAGGCCCCTGTAACTAGTCCCCCCATGTCTTGCTGTGGCTGCTCCCGATGCTGTGGACGACTTTCGTCATTGTGAGCAGGCGTCAAGAGAAACCACTAGGTCCATTCTGTCGATGCCTCGCGGCTCGTTGGGGGCCGTCCACTACATTTCCATTCTTGCATATGCTTCACAAATCAATCTCAATTTGCATTCCCCGGGCATCGAGGCGGCAGAGAGCACACGGAAGAGATAAGGCATCCGCTTAACCCCTAAACTCAACGCGTTGGTAACATGACATTTCATAATAACGGTTGTACAATTTGTGAATGACTCCACTAAAAAAAAAGTTGAAGTTTCTGCAAATGAGAAATTGTCGAAAGCCTTACCTGCTGGGGCGGACCGTGGGCCAAGGCCTGGGCAGCTCGGTGGGCCTTGAAAGCACGCCTGAGATAGGTATTGGGAGTGCCATCAAAACCCACATTGAATCCGCAGCCAAAGAGAAATCACAATGTGTTCCTGGGGTGAGCTCGGCGAGCCAACAGGTCCGGCAGCCTGGATGGCGGCAAGCTTGGATGGATCAACCTGAGCTGTGGCGAGTACCTTTTGCTGCTCACGAATCTTGACCCTTTTCTCATTGAGCAGAAGGTGGAACTTCTCGAGCATCTCAGTCTCACTATCCTTCTTGGCTTGGGTGAGCTCGTCGAGGAGATTCTTAAGCTCCGTCACCCGTGCGCCTTATCTGAGGGGGTGGACCGCGGGCCAAAGCCTGGGCAGCCCGGTGCGCCTTGCAAGCGCGCCTGAGGGATTGGAAGTGCGATCGAAACCCACACTGAATCCATAGCCAAATGAAGATCACAAGTGTGTTCCACATCTGACTCAAAAATGATGCAAAAAGAAATCGCCCAATGTGAGACTCGAACTCACAGCCTTCAGATAATCTTTGTAATTATTTAAAAGTCTGACGCACTAGCCGATTGTGCTAATTGGGCGGTGAACTGATGCTTAGTTGATTCGGAAATGGAAAATATAAAGGGAGGCCATCCTGCCCAATGCTGAAATGCCTGGGACGATCCGCAATAAGCTCATCGAAGTTTGCGCAGCCAGCCTTGGGTAATGTCACCACTTCATATTAATTAGTGCAGTCCTTATCTATTGCATCACGCTTGTTTAGAAAATGTGCACAGCGTGTAGAAAGGAATGCAGCTAGATTAAAGCAAAAAGAGTTGGAGGGCGGGTTTTATACGAAGTCTTGACGTTTGCGTGCAAGAAAATGGGCGGTGCAGGAAAACATTGGAGATGCAACTTTTAATTCCCAAACCACCAAAAGGGAAGAGGCTGCAAACGGATAGGGCATCACCCCCTGGATTAGAAATTCAATTGTCCCAGGAGGGAAATGTTGCGATACCATTAAGGTGAATGCAGCCAAGCTGGACGGCCCCTTTTCCGAAGCAAGTGCCAATCTAAGGGGAACGTACAGAAAACACCGCAGGACTTGCTTTCGGGCAAGATATGTTTAACTTTGTCGAAGCTACTGTGGGCAGCATCATGTTCCCTGAGAGGGGTTTGCCATATTTCTCTTCGGCATGAACAAAGTTCCTGACTTGTCCCCTGCGAAACTGTCCTGTGGGCGCTGGAGCTCGCCCATGCGTTCGCAAATTACGGGCGGACATTAATATACATGGAAAACCAGGTTTTCCGTGTCTAAGATGATTCGGGGACCGGAGCTGGAGCAAGTGCACGAGCAACCATGGATGCTGTGACAGAGCGAGAGCAACAACCCCGGCCTGTGACTGGAAAGGAGGCCATGAACGACAGGCCCGCCCATGCAACCGGCAAATTGTAGCATTGAGCTTGACGAACCAACCGGATAGAATGGCTAGGTATCTATGTGGCCCATCACTGGTCAGGGTGATCGCAGTCGTGTCCCGCCTGGCGTCAGTGGCAAGCGAGGTCATGCGCTGGTCACGGGACATCAAGGTGTTGACAGTGCCAAATAATCCACGATTCCACACAGAGGCTGCGGTGTGCGCAGTGAGGCACAGCCTGCATCACACCTGTGTCGGCGGTCCATTGCATGAGGCGTACTACCTAGCATCCTCTCTTCAATCGCCCCTGCCCCTGCCCCGGCCACATCACATGCCGACCAACGCGCGCGTTAGGTGCGGAAAGGAAGAACGAACGCCATGACAGCATCGCCGACGCGCACTTCAGCCCACTCTAACTTGGTGTGCTACGCCCAGCCCTCCCTAGGGGTGGTCTATCTTAACCCATCCAGCTCTTTGCGGCCGGTGAAGATGTGCATATATGCTCGGCGCCCTCCGTCGCGCCACTCACCAAAACACCACCATATGCCCAACGCACCCCCGGGAGCGAACATCCAGCTCCCACTCACAGAGTGGCACCACAACGGCGCCGCTCCCAAGTCCAACGGGGCTTGGATTGGTAAACTTGCCAAGCACGATGACGGGTCGATCTCGAGTTATGCGAAGGCCAAGCTCCAGGTGAATCTCGACAAGGGCAAACCGGTGCTCGAGGAGAAAGTGTTCGCGATCAACACGCGGGCCAGGCGCGGTCGTGCCAGGAACTGGGAGGACGATGGACCATACCGTTCTGCGGACCCAGGCAAGGGTAACCTGAAGGAGGTTCTCGTCAAGTGCAAGAAGTGCGGCACCACCCGCATCGACCATGAGCCGGCATACTACAAGCTCACCGGCGCTTACTTGGTGCGCAGGTTGAGTTGCAGCGTGTGTAAGCCGACAGCGTCCGAAGTAAAGATCGGAAGGAAAACGGGCTCAGCTCCTATGGAGCCAGTTGACTTGGAGACCCGGTTCGTTCACTCGAGCGCCCTCGAAAAGCTTGAGCGAACCGCTAAGAAAAAGGTGGCCCGCGAGGCAGAGACCACCGAGAAGAAGGCGGCATTCTTGGCAAAGCTCAAGAAGTGATGGCATCGCTTTCTCAGGTTTGTCTTCATTGAGTTCCCTTTTGTGGCTTGGGACCCTCGCAGGGTTCCTTGTTTCTTGACTCTTTCTCGACCGGAAGCCAAGGGCTTCTGGCTTGTTAACTGACGACCTCGTCGTTTTCCATTGAAGTCATTAGCTTCAGTTTTGTTGCCAGCGGTGCGCTCTCTGAGCAGTGCTGGTGTGACGGAGAGACTTATCTTTCCTGAATGGCGTTGAACTTGAATCCGCCTTACATGATGCCCAGCTTTGGTTGGGTATCGCCAGCGCTGCACTCTTTGAGCAGTGCTGGCGCCGCGGTCCCCTTTCCCAGGGTGTGGCGTGGCATGGAGAGGTTTACCCTTTCTGGATGGCGTTGAACTTGGAATCCGCCCGGCGGGATGTCCAGCCTACCAAGGTTTGGACGTCACCGGTGTCCCTTTTTGGGGGGGCCGCTGGCGTCGCGCTTCTCTTCTTAGGGCGGTGTGCTGGCGCTGGTCGCTGGTGCTCGTCTTCTTTTATCAGGGCGGCGCGTTGGCGCTGGCGCTGGCGCTTCTCTTCTCGGGGAGGTACTGGTGTTGGCGCTCGCTCGTCTTCTATCGGTGGCGTTGTTTGTGGTGTTGGTGGTGATGATGACTGGCGAACTCGGGGTGGTAATGCTAGGGTTGGTACAACGGGGCGATGGAGAGATGGAATGATGGAGAGATGGAATGATGGAGCGATGGAATGATGGAATGATCGAGCGATGGGGCGACGGTGCGACGAGGCGACAAGGCGACAAGGCGACAAGGCGACAAGATAACGGCGTGATGCGGTGGAGCGATTTGACGAACCTCGAGCGGTGCGGTGAGCGAACGACGCAGTGGTGTGGCCCAACAAAAGAAGCGAGTCGGTAAGTTATTCCTCTGCTGCGGTGGATGGCCGCTGACCCTTTGAAAGGGATCGAGCGGCGCATTCTGGCAACAAGCCTCCATCCTCGCGAGGCACTTTTATGGACAGGACGCCAAACCCTTCATTCGATCTGGTGTTGCACGTCCTTGGCTCCGCCTTAGGCACACTTAACAGGCTTCTTCTATCTGATGTCAATAGATGCATTTGATCTGGTGTTGCGCATCCTTGGCGTCACTTCAGACACCCGGCACCGGGCCAAAAGACGTTTCAGTCCGGTGTTATCCAGCAGGCTTCTTCGCTCCGATGTTACCTTCGATCCAACGCTCCCTAGACCTGGTCCGCACTGATCTCGGGGCCCGGCCAGCCCTTGGGACTACCTCTACAATACCGGTGCTACACCATTTCCCAGGCGATCTCCATGACTGTCGCCGTGGCTCAACACATTCAGAAAACCTTCTGGGCCCTCGAAACAACCGAATGCACACACGGCCTACGCCAAAGCCAGCACACATCACACACACATCACAACAACCCACGTTTGTTGTTGTCGAAGATCTCGATGAATGTCATCTGAGACACACCGCTTTCCCTGCTGGGCCCCTCCCGGATTTCAACATCATTCCAAGTGATGCAAACCAACACGAGCCAAGGACACCGCCGCGCCTGTGATCAGCCATGTGGCAGCATCTATGCACCTCTTACATTTAGTGCCGGTTTGAGCAAGGCAGCAACACCAACTTGCCGCGGAAGACACACAATTACGAGACCGGCAAGGAACACGGAGTAAAGCTCACCGCCTGAGGTCCACAATCCACTGCATCGAGCAAGTGCATTCAACTCCAACGTATTTGATTACAAGCTAACGTGTGTCCTAGGAGCAATGACCACCGTCACAGCGCACACAAAGAAAAACTTCCTGCGCGAAGCGGACTCCAGCGAGAGGTTACCCAACACACAATATGAACACGATGGTCAACACCGATACCGACACCGCTCGAACCACAACGACTGCAAGCACAAATGTCGCTCGTTTCTCGTCGATCGTCGCAGGAGCTCAGGGGAGTTTAGAGGGCAAGGGGGGGCAAGGGAGGGACGGGGAGGATGGACAAGATGATGGGGGCAAAGAAACCATCCGGGCACAGGGACAAACAGAGGAAGGACGCAAGGCAGCAGGAATAAAGCAAGGGATACGGAATAAGACGGAGGAAGATGCGGAAATATGAAGAGGGCGGAGGAGCGGAGGAGAGGAGGAGGGGGGGAGGGGGGGAACACGGAGGGAAATAGGCAGGGGAGTTCGTCGCAAATCCAGTCATCATCACCACATATATGAGATGTTGGCCTTTTACTGCGTGTTTGCCGAGAGGACGATAGGTCGACCTGGCGCGGGTCCGCCGAGTCCCCCTCCCCGCTCCATCTATCTGCTTCCGTTCGGCTGGCCCCTCATTGGCACCCCGACGGGGATGTGCCTTTCGTGTTGTTAGCTAGCCGTTGATTCTTAGCCGCCCGCGCGCCTCGAAATAGAGCTCGTGATGGAATGATCTATCGTTTTGCGACCCAGCTGTTTGGCCAACTTGTTGTCGCCAGCCAGGTTCGCGGCGCGCTTCTCGGTGGCTCCCGCACCTTTGGGCTGCAACCGGTGCTGCCAGTGCTCACCAATCTCCCGCGTCCTCCCTCTCTTGCCGGCAGGGGCCACCGCCGCCATTGCTACCACGGTCATACCCACACGCCGCCATGCAGCGGTCTTTGCGCCACGGCATCCAGGTTGGTGGCTTCCAATTGCTAGCCACAAGGGCTGACCATTCCTCAGAGGGTCGCCCTGAAAAAAGAAGACGAGCACGGTCGAGAACCGCGGGGCCCAGTCCCTGAAGGAGAAGCGCAGCACGGCGACCCCCAAGGATAAGAACCTAGCGCCGGATTATGTGAGGGAGGAGAGTAGCGCCGCTGGCTAACCCGGCGGCGAGGTGAAGGAGGAGGAAGAAGTGGCGCTAGTTGCTGGTGCTCGCCTTCCTTTATCAGGGCGGCGCTGGCCGTCCTCTTCTCAGGGAGGTGCTGGCACTGGCGCTTGAAGAAGCAGAGGAGGATGGCGGCGCCGTGGGCTGCTGCGGCTCGTTTGTATCCTAGAAACGGGCTCCTTTGATGTCATTGAAAGTTACCTATCTGCA